CGATAACTTGATCGATAAATGGATGATCGATCAAGTGATCGATAATTGCCCATGAAAATCACCTCTGAAGCTTATTTTCCATGTTTATATGAAGGGTGACTCAATATATGATGGTATAATTTCCCGGTTGTATATTTTAGCTTCCGACTGAGCCATCCAAACTTCTGATTGAGCATAACAACCTTTAACATCAAATCTATGAACTTGAATCTTGATATTTCCATTCGATCTTGCAAGTTCTTTTCTCAATCTCTCTTCTTCTTCTTCCTCTTGATCATTCTCGACAACTCAAAGTTCAAACTCTTTTCTTTTCTTGAGGAAACTACAAAAGATATTAAGTATGATAGTTAGTCAAAATATGAGGTAAACAATTTATGCAAACTTTTTGCTCTATTATTTGACATCATCAAAACTAATCATATCTAACATAGATCCCATAATATCATACTTGACTCATTTTTAAACGAATCGGATATTACATGTTTTAAGAATAACTAGAAAATTTTCTCCCACGCATTGCACGGATTAGAATATTTGATTAAATTTTAAATTCTAATAAATTATATTATTTAAGGTAGCTCAAGATTCACTTCTTATAGAAGTGTGATTTTTTTATTCATTCAAATGATATTTGAATTAGATATTCAGAAATTAGAAAAAACATATAAAAATTTAAAATTATTTATTTATTTCTTCATTTAAACCCCAACTGATGTATTATTTAGGAAAAATTACAAATAAAGACCCCTGAATATGTAAAATTATGATCTGGGACTCTTAATTTAGAAAATAGTAAATAAAAACCAGATCCTATTTTTGTAAATATGAAATTATGGTGAAATGTCTGAAATGCCTCTTAGCCAAATAACAAGTTGACCATAAAAAATGACAATTTCAGTAGATCAAATCACAATTTGGCTGAGGGTATGCCAAATGACAAGTTCACTTCAGTGAATGAAAATTTTAGTAAACCAAATTATAATTTGGTTGAGGGGCATTTTAGACATTTCATCCACATTTCATAATTGCAAAAATAAAATCGGGTCTTTATTTGCTATTTTCTCACTTGATGGTTCCAAATCGCAATTTTACATATTTGGGGTCTTTATTTGCTATTTTCTCACTTGATGGTCCCAAATCGCAATTTTATATATTTGGAGTCTTTATTTGCAATTTTCCCATTATTTGATTATGATACTTCCCATTTAATTCAATATATTCAAAGATATTATTCAAATTCAAAATTAATTATTGATTTCTTCATTTAAGCCTCCAATTAAAATCCCATTTAATAATGATACTTCTCATTTAATTCAATATACCCAAATCCCAATCAAAATACTCCCTCCGTTCCTTATTATAAGAGACAAATAACCAAATTACGTTGATAAAAAAAACAGTTAAAATTAGTTGAGGACAATTAATGTGTAAAAAGTATAATATTTTTTCCAACAATGCCCCCATTAATAAGGAGAGAGAGTATGAGAGAGAACAATTAAATTATTAAAAGAAAGAGAAGTGGGAGGGAGAGAGAGTATGAGTTGGAGTAGGAGTAAAATAAGAAATCAATATAAAAAAATAGAGACAACTTTTAAGTGTCTCTTATATATAGGAACATGCCATAAGCATCAAATGTCTCTTATAATAAGGAACGGAGGGAGTATTATTCAAATCCCATTAATTGAATATATTTAAATATCATAATATTATACCCGACTCATTTTTAAATGAAGTGGGTATTACAAGTTTTCAAGAGTATAATGATTATTAGTTGGCATCTAATATTTTAAAATATTTTTTAATGGCATCTAATATATTAAAATAATTGTTATGGCATTAAACATCATAAGATTTTTTTTTTAATAGAAGTGTTAAAGTGATTTTTAATGGAATTTTATTCTTAAAATATTTTTCTCAGTAGCAACATACACTTTAAACCTAAGATACTAAGCATTACTAAAAAATATTACTGGATATTATTAAAAATTCATATTACTGGATATTTTGAAAATGATCTTAGGGTGTCAAATGCTATATACTAGGCGCTATTGAAAAAATATTCCAAAATTTTGAATACAAAAAACAAAACAAAAAAAACACTTCAAGCCACTACTCACCATCCACTATTTTACCCTAAAATGATGTAGTTTTTGGTAGAAAAATCCAAATGCTGTGAAGCAGAACTGGTAATATGGGTTAAACCCATCAATAATGGCGAGTTAGGGTTAGTTAGAAACTAACTAAGCTAACAAACAAAACTTTTTAACCCACACTACCTAGCCCACAAGGAGGGCTAACTTGCATTTATTTATTTTTTAATTTTATTAATTATTAATTATTATATTTTATATCCTAGCTAAAAAATTAAAAAATTGCCTACATCATTTATTTGATGTTTTCAATCAAGTATTTGAAAGAAAGACAAAAATTTCATCATATTTAGTTTATATTGTATAAGAAAAAACTATTTTAAAAAAAGAAAATAATAGTTGGCAACCCACTATGGCCGAAGCCAATTTACCATTACACAAGGTCTTTTCAACCTGCACATTCAGTCATCAACATACTATGGCGGGAGCCAATCCGCCATTATACAAGGCCTTGTCAATCCTTACTGCCTAATTCTAACTCGTCATGAGCCAACCCACAAGCTGTAGGTTAACCCATATTAGCACCTCTACTGTGAAGCACGGCATGAAGGACTAGGGCATGAGTTCATTTTAAAATAATAGAAAACGGTAATTTTTTTAATTATCGGATAAGGTGCTAAAATAATCCAGAAGTGTACGCAGAGCAACATTTAACACCCGAAAGTTTTTTTTGGCTCTAAAATGCCTTGGAAGTTTAATTTTGTAGCAAATATGCCCCGAAGTTAACAGAAACTTGACCGCTAATTCCTTTTGACTTACTTATGCTGACGTAGCTACTGGGGTAGGATAAAAATTGAGACACGGTTCCTTCCTCTCTCCCGCCCCTGCCTCTCTCCTTCATTTGCTCTTTCTCTAAAACGAAAAAAATTCATTCCTCTTCCATCATTCACCATTGCTCAGAAGCTAAAAACAGGTTCATTCACCCACCTTCATATTTAATTGCCTTGCCATCCCGCGCTTTCTTCGTCTCCATCGCCGCCACCCATCACACTGCTATGTTTGTATGCTCATTTACGTTGTTCCAGTGAGCTCAGATTTTTGGCATATTCCAATCAACAAAGATTATATAGCCCCTCAATGATTTAAGAGATAGAAAGGTGTGTTTTGATGGATACATTCAAGGACAACTGTGGCTCCATCCTTCTTCCTCTTTTTGGCATATTCCAATCAACAAAGATTATATAGTCCCTCAATGATTTAAGAGATAGAAAGGTGTGTTTTGATGGACACATTCAAGGAGAACTGTGGCTCCATCATTCTTCTTCCTTGCCTTATAAGCAATGCAATAAGCACCTGCAGGATTAAGTTTATTAGAAGAACCGTCAATAAATTTATACACTAAAAAAGAATTGAATCAATGTGGATGCAGCGTCCAAATTAGGAACCAATCAACGTTTTAATACCTAAGCCTTCTTCCTCTTCTACAACGAACGATTCAAATTGAAAAGATTGTCACCGCTTCTCATAGCGTTCACTGCTATAGCAGAGACTCTTTACCTCTATTTTGGAGGATTTTTTACTTTTCTTTTAGGGGAACATAAAAAGAATGGATGTAATTAATAAGTGCCCCACATTTTACTTCTATTTCGAATAGACGAGAAAAGTTCAACTTTTTTTGTCTATTCAAAAATAGACATAAAAAGTACTGCTTTTCATGTTTGTTTTCATAGAAACAGAAGTGAAAATGTTACTTTTCACATCTGTTTTTATAGAAACACAATGGTGTTCAAATAGACCCGTCTAAGTTGACCCATCCCAGTCCCGGCCATATCGGGTCGGGACTGAACAAAAAATAAGATCGGGACAGAACGGGACATAGAACAGGGTTGTCTCATCCCGATCCCATCCCAATAGTAATATTTTTTATTTTCTATCATATTATAATTATTAAATGTTAAAAATACAAAATGTTTAAGACATGTGTAATACAAAATGTTTATATTTATAGCTTTCAAGATATATGTAGTTGAATGGTTATTATTTATTTAGAGTTTGTATAGTTGCTTATGATTTTTGAAATAGTGAAAATAAATTTTGGAATTATAATGTTACTGATTATTATTTATTTAGACTTTTCTTTAAGAGAGCTAAGCCCAAAAAAACTTCAAAAAAAAAAAAGATGCTTTCAGAAGGGCTAGGCCCAAAGAATTAAAAATAGAAAGAGAAAAACAACCAAAATCCATTGCAATAGGTCTAACCACAAAACAAAAAATATTTTAAAAAAAGGACGTCCCGATCCCGCCCCAGTTTCATCCCCTTCCTATCAGGACAAGGATAGCACTGAGAAGGGACGGGACAGGGAACAGATTTTCTATCCTGTTCTTGTTCGTCCAGACGGGACCAGGATGAGCTTGTCCCGGTCACATCCCATCCTGTCTAGACGAATGTAAGTGAAAAGTGCTACTTTTTCACATTTGTTTCTAGGGGGGGAAAAAAAAGGAAGAAGAAGTAAAAAGTGATAAATATTTCACTTCTGTTTGCCTAAAAACAGAAGTAAAAAGTAATATTAAAAAAAAAGGAAGCATTTTTTGTTGGATTGGAAGTGATTTTTTTAAAATCAAATCCAACAAAAAAATGCCCTATATTTATTATCTTTATATAAATACATCCTCAAAGAAGAATTTGAGTAAAAATATAATAATCCAAATCTCAATATATATTAATAACAAGTGTTATATAAGTACTCAAAAGTTACAATAACAATGTCAAACCATACTAAAACAATATAAATGTATCTAATACAAGTGCAACCACAAACTTCACAGCTGATACTTGTGTTATACAAGTCTTTTAGCTATCTCCTCATGCTTAAACTTCATCAACTGCTCTCACCACCAGTCCTCGTGGCTGTCACAAGAGCTTGACACCGCCGCACAAGAGAGGATCAGGTGGGTTCAGAAAAACTACATGAGATTCCCTCAAGGCCTTCCACTAGAATGCAAAAATCATAAAAGAAAATAGAGCAAACCATGTAATAGGTAAGGATAAAAGGGGGGAAAAAGGCAAAATAAAAACGTAATTCACAAGCATAAGGGAAAATCACTAGAAATATGCAGCTTTCTTGTGAAAGTAAATAGAGTAATTCTCAAAGCTTCTCAATGTCATGATATAAAGACATACTAGCCAGTGCATTTCTTGCCACTGCAGACCGTGATCATGATGATTATCTAGTAGGATATATCACAATTATAAAAGCATATATGAAATTTCAGACTTCAGTTTATTTATATTTTTCATTTAATTGGATTGTTCACAAGTGAGTTTTCTTCTTTTCTTTTTCTTTTTCTTTTTTTTTTTTTTTTTTTTTTTGGTTTCTTGCCGGCACATTCTCTTAATTGACATAATAAATTATAATAGTGGCTAAAATTCATAAAATTTCAGGGAGTAACGCCCGCGTATTGACCCTCCAATTCAACGTGGAGGTACCCAAAGATGATCTTCGGTTGTTGCACTCCAAGTAGCATTCCTCCCAACACTCAACAGAATCGTCGTCGCCAATCTGGTACTCCTCTGTTTTCCCAAGTTATCGCCACCCCCTTCCGATTCCCCCACTCACTGAACGCTCCATACCATCAAAGCCACGTTGAGGCAACAGTGTGTGCGCGTCGAGGGAGAGAGATTGAGGAATTGTGCATGCACAGAGGGCGAGAGCAGAGCGCGCCAGCTGGGGTGGGGAAGATGCGTTGAGGCATACATATGAAACTAAAGAAAATAAAATAAAAACTAAAGTATATATTTGGTCTTTTAACTTTATCTAAGCTTTTAATTTAATCCCTTAACTTTAAAAAGAATATTTTTAGTCCTTTAATCCTGAAACTATTAGTTTAAATAATTTTTTTTATAACAATTATGATTATTTTGAAAATTAAACTTAATTTGCTAGCATCTGAAAATATTTTATTAATATTTAACATCTCAACATCATGATTTTTTGTTAACAATTTTAAGATTAAAAAACTAAAAGTATGCTTTTTAAAGTTAAGTAAAAGTATGTTTTAAAATTAAGAGATTAAATTGAAATCCTATATAAAGTTAAAGAACTAAATGTATATTTTAGCTTAAAATGAAATAAGTTATAAAAATTGTGAAGGATATTTTCGTCTATTTTATAAAACAGAGAAAATTTTCTACACTCTACTAAGAATGATATTGTTAATATAGCCACACGGGTGGGATATTATGAAACAAAAATAGTAATAATAGAACTCGCATAGACAAGGAATGAAAAAGAAAATAGGGAGAATTATAATGAGATCTATAAAAAAAAATTATTATTAAGTTTCAATGATAAATGATCAATTGTTATTTTTTGCTCTAGAACTTCTCAGCACAGATTGCTCTGCTTTTAGTAATTATATTCTCTATTTGACACTTCATAGCAATTCTCTCCATAAAGTATTAGAAATTTGGGATGTTAAAACTTCCCGTCTACTTTATTTTTGGTCCTAGTTTTATTTACTAGTTCCTCGCATTATTGGATGTAATAGCCAATACAATGTCTGTCATCCGTGCACGGAATGGTCAATATAATGTTAGTGTGATATTTGTATCAGTATAGTTTGATTTCCACAAGCCTTGAGATTGTATTTTAGCATTGGTCGAACCACTCTCTGGTCAAAAAAAAAAAAAAGGCATTGGTCGAACCACTATCATGAGACCCACATATACAAATGTTGGCTCAATAATTTGTCCCTAGGAAAATGGAGTGAAGGAGAATGGAGAAAAAAATTTAATAGGTTTGATTTGAAAAATTAGAAAAGTGGGGTTCAAAAATCTTAAGTAAGATAAGATTTAACATAAAAGAGTAAAAAAATTGATTACAAACTTTGAACCCTACTTTACTTTTCAAATCAAACCCATTAAAATGCTTCCTTCCATCTATTCTCCGATTTATACTTCAAAAGTATTCTCTCACCTAGTCCTTGTTTTTTTATATTCTTTTACGGACCAATTTATTTAGTGTTAAGGATACAATGATTTTTCTTTTCCTCCTAATTTTAATAGTAATATTGTAAATTGTGGGTGGAAGTTTTATGGTTTGACTTTTACATCTCTTTTATTATTAAGTATAGAAATGGAATCTCTAGAGTCCTTTTTTTTTTTGGGGCAATTCAACATATAACAACTTTGTTTTATTAAGAAGGATGGAAATGTTAAAAATATCATATAATAAATAATAAGAACTAGAGCGGGTACTTTGCAGTATCCAAGTTTATGCAGAAGAGTAACTTTTACTTTGACAAGGCCCCTTATTTTTCAGTATCATCCCATGATACTTGTTATCACGCGGTTTCCAATTCTTTTAATAGGTGTGCAAGTATTTAGAGATTGGAGAGTTTTTTATTGATCAACACTTGTGATTTTTGGAAAATGCTATATATGGGCAAACCTGAATATGTTTTAGGCAGTGTGTGTAGAAAATTGTCTTTAATTTATAATATATCCTCCAAACTTGTCTATAAATTAAACTAAAGAAGCGAAAATTTATGGGAAAAAACGCTGTGTAAATATTTTTTAAGCCAGGTTTGCTCTCTCTATATTGTATGTATATATGATGTTGCAACTGTTGGCAATATGTATATACTCCTCCAAAACTAAATGTAAAACCTATTTTGTAATATAATTTATATTACAAAATAGGTAGTATATTTAGAATCGGAGCAAGTGTGTGTGTGTGATGTTGCAAGAGGACTGAAACCTCCAAATAGTCGATCTCTGACCACTTCTTATGTATATGGGCAAAGAGGTGCCCACGTTCATAATATACATGTCACATCGACTACTACTGTTGTCTGCATATTGTCTACATACATATACATATATGGGTATTGCACTGTGCATGTGTAACACTTGGGGGAGAAGAGCACATACATGAAATACGTTGAAGACAGACTAACAAATAAAGTTCCATCTACAATGACTCAGAATCTGGGCAACTCAATCCTTCTTTCTTGACCAATGATAAAGCGTTGCTCAAAAAAAAATTTTGTCCTTCTCGAGACTCATATATACTATAAAAAGGCCCAAGAAAAAGGAAAACACAACAAAGAGAGTGACAGTACCAAAACCTTTAGAAACACCCAGGACAACATATATGCCTGTCCCAAATGCTATGATCATAAATGCCATTGCCCCCATGGTTAAAAACCCACAAGTACTAAGCAGGAATTCACGAAGTTCCTCGTCCACCTCATCCTCAACTTCTGGAATTGTTGATATAAAAAATAGGAAAAAAACAGTAGAAATAGAGAGCATGAATGAGAGAGAATCTGCAACAACAAATGCGATGAAAGCTGCATTATACCTTAATATGGGAGAGCCCTTATGTTCCCCTTCTTGAATCAGTCCTCCAGGCAATGTATATCCTGCAGTAAATGTCACCGTTGCAATTAAAGTTGCCACTACAGCGTAGGCTGTTGTTGTTCTAGCTAAAAGATCTTGACTATTTGTCTTGTATTGTTTCTCCTTTCCACCAACAGCCCTCTTCTCTTGTTTCTTCTCTTTAAGGTGCTTATCCAGAACTCGTCCTCCTAACTTTGCTCCAATAGTTTTCAATTTCCTTAACATTGCATTCTGCACCGCATAACACATATTAAATTGGATTCAGCCTATAAATGCTAAATAAATAAGTTGCATTTAACCATACTTACATGATCAATACAATCACATAGATTAAAAAAACCAAATCAAACTAGTGGAAGACTTATTTAAAGATGTTACGATCTTGACTAAAACAACATAAAATCAAGGTCTCATAACTTACCAGGCTTGAAAAGGGATGTTTTAGACTTATACGTGTGGGTATTAAGGCTATATAAAAGGGCTCTTCATTTAGAGTGTGATAGCTAAGAACTCAGATCGAACAAAACTAATGCACAGCATAGTAATTTTCTTTTATTCTATCAATCTCTACTCTTATTTTAAGTTACATAGTTCATACCATGATATTGAGGAAAAGTCGATGCGTGCATGCAAATGCTCAGAATATCAAAATAAATGTAGTCAATGAATTTATATATTGTGTGTTTTGTTACCTCAGAAGCTGAATCTGGAGGCACAACATCAACAGCAATATCGAGAGCAGTTTGACCATATTTATTAAATGCCAGTTTGTCCACTTTTGGGAACTGAAACATATTTGGTAACCGTGGATCTAAAAGAGGATGATAAGAATCATAGTCTTTCTTCCATTCTGGAGCTCGATGGGCAAGGAGGTGAAGTGGTGTGTTCCCATCGTCATCTTTCTCATTGCACAAGTTTCTTATTAGTGGCGCAACTTCAAAGATATGTTCTAGCAATGTAAATAGGAAACAACTTTCTCCCATCGCGGTGTAGTGAAGAGCATTTGAGCCCTGTTCATCCACCAATTCATAACAATCGGGCCAATATTTTAATATTGTTTTCATCGTATCTGCATTTATAATTGCTGCAAAGTGAAGAGCCTTCCTTCCTTTGTTATCTCTCATGTGTGCCGTGCTGCTATCTTTGCTTACCAACTCCTCTACCACATCTGAATCTACACAAAGTTCTGCCAAGTGAAGTGGAACCCAACCATTCTCATCTGCTTGTTTTGCTGCTGATAAGTTTCTTGTCACCAACTTCCGCACTACTCCTGTCATAGGTAACATCAAATTAAACAACAATTCATTTTATCTAAAAATAATTTGCTAATTTCCCACATGATCACTCTTGAAATTCAGAATGTTAATTAAAATTGTAACTATCATAATTTTATCAAAATGATTGTTATTTCAAAGAGCTTATATGAATTTGTTATTTCATTTTAATTAAAAAAAAAAGTTACTTTAAGCATGTAACTATGGAAGTTAATTGTTGTTGTTTTATTCCTAGAAAATTAGATATCCAAATGAAAGATAAATTGTTATAAATGATAAATTACAAACTCATACAATAAAATACCTGCGTCACCATGAAGGACTGCAGCATGCAAAGCGGTTCTGCCATTGGGGCCATTATATTGTGGTGAATTACTGTCATCCAATATTGTATCCACCACATTCCGATATTGTTTCTCAACAGCAATATAAAGTGGAGTTTCACCATCAACATTTTTACCAAATTATGCGCGACCTAGTTCCTCCTTTAATAAGACACCACCCACTTCATTGTGACCATAACGAGCTGCTTCATCCAAGGCTGTGTCCTTCTTATCATTTACTGCTCTTATAAGTCTTTTCTCCGCTCCAACTTCATAGATATGAGGAAGTTTAGCATAATCAATTAATTTCTTCACTGTTTTATGATGTCCATACCTTGCTGCTATATGAAGTATGGTATCACCCTTGACATTAGTCTTTAAAAGAAGTGCAGGACACATACCTAAAACCTCTTCCACAAATGTCTCTTTCACAGATGTCTCTAAAACACTGTCGGTCTAGTTTGTGAGGTGTATATGAAGGATTGTATTTTTATTTGGGGTTAGTATCGACTCAGTTTGCTCACCCTTCCCTTCAAAGGCATCAGTGTTACCTTTTACTGCAGCTTTGTAAAACTCAGGTTCCATGCATGCAATTGTGATAATAGTACAGTTGTTGAGATCAAAAAAAGGTTCAATTGATGTGATTTTGGTGGCTTCTGTCTGGCTGGAGGTAGCACTATCGGTTGTTATCTCCATCCAATTCCTTTCTCAACCTAAACCGTTTAGGAAATCCATCAGAAACAAAAACTTCGAATTTGTGACTGCCACAGCACCGCAGCTTTTGTAACTTAAAATAGTGTCCGAATGTTTCAACAAGAACAAAAGTACGGCCAAGAACAAGGACAAAGAGAAATAACGCAATCTTCTAAGCAATATCAACATATTGCAAGACAGAAAGCGACATGAAACCCAAAAACAATGAGAGAATATTTTGCGTGGATGTAATATATGTACCTCCAAAATAGCCGTTGAGGGAGCCCTGTAAAATGTTCAAACAGTAACTCTTGGACGCTACTTCTTCAGACAAATTTGTGGAGGTAGTGTGAGAGAGAGAGAAAGCAGATGAATAAGAAAGAGTGAAAGCGTATGGAGTGGTTGAAGGAAGGTGTATGATTGAAGAGGGTATATAAAGAGATAGACCATGAGCAAGTGGAATCAAATTGAGTCTCCTGCATTGAACCCAGCACTGTGCCAGCTCATGTATACACCTAGGCAATTATTTCCAAAACAAAATTCTGACTTTTAAACACTAAAAGACATATATGGTAATGTACAATGCTGACCACAAAACTAAAAGATTTCCTTCGTTTCTAATTTGGATATATTGGCCCAGTGTCCGCATGGCATAAACCTACTATAGGGTCCCTTAACCTGTATGACTAAGAATAGTACGGCCTAGGAGAGAGCGCTTTTGTGTGGTGGAGGTTTGAGAAAAAGCACAAGCCTACGATCAATGCATTTGAAGTTAAGGCCAAATATAATACAGTTAAAAGAAGGGCCAAATAATACAGTATGATAGCATTTAAATTTTATTTTAGTGCATTGACTCAAAGCACTTTGAAGAGAACTGGCAGAGGTAATTGATCTGTATACATGAACGACATGACACCACCCTGCTTCAGTTGAATTCAAATTGTGTAAGCCATTAACACCACGACATACAGCTTCGGGAGTTGTTTTTAAAATCCAAATTTTCTGCCAGAAATAACTTTGCAGGATATAAGTTTTCACGTCGAACCCTTTCTCCATAACCCCTTTATAAGTTCAGGATTCAGAACATCTTTGCCAGTGATGCAAGCACGGAACATCAGTCCTTCCTGGGAGATATGCAGCTGTAAAAACAGAGTCACAAATTAGTTTACTGTAATCACCCTTTCAATATGTTCGCAGACAAAAGCCACTAGAACAATCTCGTTCTAATGTTAATTATCATCACTATGCTGCTCTCTAGTACTACACAAAAGAAACCAATACTTTTGCAGGAGTGAAACAAAACCTGTTTGGTAGTTGGTATTGAGGGGTTGGGTTTGGGTTTGGGATTGACTAATCCCACGTTTTTATGTCTGGTATGGAGTAACGAGTGATCCAATCCCAATCTCATCCGTATTAGGAAATACAATCCCTCCCCCTGGTATTGTAATTCTCATCCTGGGATTTTTTTTTTTTTTAAACCAAAATGTCCTCTCCCTGTTGAGCGTCTTCCTCATCGGCCTTTATGGTCATCTCCTCAATCTCTAGTCACTGCTTTCTACTCCATCCCTAGCCCTTACCTTCTCCCATCCAAGTTCACCAGATCTATATCATGGAGTCCTTCTCTTTAACCCATCTCCTCAATGTCGTCTTCCTGGCCCTCTCTAATTTCTCCCTCCTCCAGTGTCGTCATTGTCTCCCTCGCCCACCCACCTTTTACGTCTCTATCGCCCAGATACCCCGCTGCATCAATGTCAGAAAGAAGAAGAAATAAGACTAGTATTCTAGTAACAATCAGAGAACGCAGAAAGAAATATAGGACGTAAAAAGAAATATAGAACACACAGAAAGAACAAGAACACCCCAAGCAAATTGCGGTCATGAAGAATTCAAACTTGAAATTGAGAGAATCCGTCTTCACTATTGGGATTTACAGAAACAGAGAATGACAAATATGGGTTGCAAGGAAAGAACAAAAGGCACTGACCCAAAAAAAATAAAAAAACAAACGAAAGAACAAAAGGCAAGGTTTTTTTTCCTTTGGATTGAGAACAAAAGGCCAGGTTTGCAAGGAGAGAAAAGCGGACGGCGAGAGTGATTGCTAGAAGAGTCTCAACGAATGGAATTAGGGTCAGGGTATCATATTGTTTTCACAATTAATGGCTGATTATAAAATGAAAATAATGAACCTATCCCCTTCAAATTAATCAAATATAACACCATACCAAACACAATTTTACAACCCCATTCCCAGGGGTCTGCATGCCTTGCTCAGCCAATCTCCTCCAAGCACGGTATGCCCAATACCCTCGTCCTTTTTCTTTTTTTTTAAAATTTCTATTAATTTTATTTTTTTTATTTACTTGAGATTAACTTATATCTAGCACTGTAAAATATTTTTTTAGTAGTATTCAATGTCTTTAATTAATTAATTTTTAACTCATTCAATATCTTAAAGCTTTTTCCAATAATACCAGTATCCTAAATTAATTATTTCTTAGTGAATCTATTATCTTGAAGTATTTTTTCAGTAGCAACCATTGACTATCCTAAATTAATAAATTTTTAGTGCATTCCGTATTCTAAAATATTTTTGTAACAACATTTAGTATTCTAAATTAATTTTTCTTAGTTAATATTTTTTTCAGTAGTACCTAATATCCTAAATTAATTAATTTTTAGTATATTTAATATCCTCAAGTATTTTTCAGTAATACCAAGTATCCAAATTAATCATTTTTTAGTAAATCTGACACCTTGAAGTATTTTTTAGTAGCACCCACTATCCTAAAATAATTTATTTTTATGAATACATTCAATATTTGGAAGTATTTTTTTAGTAACATTCAGTATTCTAAATTAATTAACTTTTAGTGAATTTAGCATCTAAAGTATTTTCTCAATATCATCTAGTATCATAAATTAATTTTTAGGGTATTCAACATGCTAAAGTATTTTTCTAATAGCCTAACTGACTGAAAAATATACTCTTATTACACTAAAAATTAACTAATTTAGAACAATTGGTGTTACTAAAAAACACTCTTTAGAGTGCTGCATATAATTTAACCCAAATAAATAAAAAATAAAATTAATTTTTTTTTTAAAAAAAAGAAAGGGGTAAGACAGTGAATTTTTTTCCCTGCAAAACAAGCTTGGCTTTGTGCTAGCCACAAAGAATCAATCATGTAAAAAGGCAAAGTAAAAAGCTCGAGACAAGCATTTAGAAGCAAGCATTCAAGAAGTAACCCAGCCCAAGATATTCCAATGCACAAAGGCATCAATGCGCAATCCCAAAATATTATCAAACCACCAAGTTCAAGTGGACAAGGTGATCTAAAGACTCATCTAAAGAACCACAAAAATAGAGAAAATTGTTATGAAATCTCCAATAAAAAAACATAAACAAAAGTCTCAATGATATCAGAACAGCATGCAAGAACAAGTTTCAAAATTAGAAATGATAACTGCTTACTTATTACTCAGACTTGTTTGTAATTATTTTCTTTTCTTAGAATCTCATTATTATTCTCTTAAGACCATACTTCTAAATATGAAAGATATTGCTTTCGCAACTTGATAGCCACTAAATAATAAAGGGAGCATCGGAAAATAAGCATATTTGTTTTTATTTTTCATTCCCATTTTAGTTTTCCCTCCTCATTTTAGCCTATTTTGTTAGAAACATTTAATCTTACCTCCGGTTTTTAATATAAAAGCTGGTTTGACTTTTATTTTGATCATAAATATAATACTCTAATCCACTTTATTTCTCATATCTATTCATTTTTGTTAAGGTAATTCTTATAATAATGATAGTTCTAACTAATACATTTGATTGACAAGGATATTTTAGAAAAAATAATACCTATTTATTACAAATAACTAACATAATTATTTTTTTAATTTATTTAAATTAGCCAACTAATTTTTATATTAAGTAGCGAAAGTAGTATACAACTTCGTTACATATCAAGATGAAAACTTGTTATTTCTATTCTCATAATAAACTAAAAACAGATTAAGTGGGGCCCACCTATGTCAAAATTACAAAAACAAATCTATTCACAAAATTACAAAAATATTTTAAATTCTATTAATTTTATTTTTTATTTATTTTGGTTAACTTGCATCTAACATTCTAAAATTTTTTTTATGTAGCACTCAGTTTCCTAAATTAATTAATTTTTAATCCATTCAATATCTCAAAATATTTTTTCAATAATACCCAGTATTCTAAATTAATTATTTTTTTTAGTGAATTCATCATTATAAAGTATTCTTTTAGTAGCAACTATCCAGTATCCTAAATTAATTAATTTTTAGTACACTCAGTATTGTAAAGTATTTTTTGCAATAACACCTAATATCCTAAATTAATTTTTTTTGTGACTCAAGCATCCAGAAGTATTGTTTTGGTAGCACTAAAGATCCTAAATTAATTAATTTTTAGTACATTCAATATCCTGAAGTATTTTTTTAGTAACAACCAATATCCAAAATTAATTATTTTCTAGTGAATTGAGCATCATGAAGTATTTTTCTAATAGCATCTAACATCCTAAATTAATTAATGTTTATTAGTGCATTCAGTATTCTAAAATATTTTTTTAGTAACATTTAGTATTCTAAATTAATTTTTAGTGAATTCAGCATTTAAAGTATTTTCTCAATAGAGCCCAATATCATAAATTAATTTTTAGGACATTCAACATGCTAAAATATTCTTCTAGTGGCCTAACTAACTGAAAAACATACTCTCATTACACTAAAAATTACTCTCCTGATTCTTAATATAAGACCAATTTAATTAATTTGATTAAATTAAGAAAGTTAGGTAAGTTAGTTAATTATAAGAAATATGACATATTTTTCTAAAACACCATATTCATCTTTTTTAATATCCTCTCCATCTTCTACTTAGTTATGGTTGAGGGAGATCCATAGGGCTAATTTAGACAAAATTGATAGATTTGAGACATAGGTCTTATATTTAGAACTAAAATCAACGGAACAATTAGGTCTTATATTAAAAACTAGAAAAGTAATTAATTTAGGATAATTAGTGTTACTAAAAAATATTTTAGAGTGCTGCATATAATTTAACCCAAATAAATGAATAATAAAATTAATGATTTAAAATAAAAATAAAAAGAGAGAAGGGGCCAGGATAGAGAATTTCTTTTCATGCAAAACTAGCTAGATTTCGAGCTAACCAGAAAGAATAAATCGTGTAAAAAGGCAGAGTGAAAAGCTCAGGAGGCAAGCATTTAAAAGCAAGCATCCAAGAAGCAATCCAGCCCAAGATACTCCAAGGCACAAAAGCATTAACGCGTAATCCCAAAGTACTACCAAACCACCAAGTTCAAGTGGACACCAAAAAACCAAGTGATTTAAAGATCCATCTAAAGAACCACGTGGGAATAATTGTTATGAAATCTCAAAATAAAAAATATAACCACTAAAAAGTTCCAGTGACAACAGAGTAACCTGAAATGACGAGTAACCTGAAATGACGAGTTTTAGGATAGGAAATAATAACTACTCACTTGTTATTATGACTCATTGATAATTATTTTTTCTCCTTAAAATCTCACTGTTATTCTCTTAAAAACATACTTCGAATGTAAAAGATGTTGGTTTTACAACGTGATAGCTCCTAGTTGATTAAAAGTTATCTCGATTATAGAGGGAGAAACGGAAAAAAAGCATTTTTTTTTTTATTCCCATTTTAGTTTTCCCTCTTCATTTTAGCCTATTTTGTTAAAGACATTTAATACTACCCCTAGTCCTTTATATAAGAACTTATTTTATTTTTATTTTAGTTATAAATATAAGATTCTAATATACTTTAAGTATTATTTATATTTGATGGTTATTTGATATAACCATCAAATATGTCCAAAACACTTGATGGCTATATCGAATAACCGTCAAGTATTTTAGACTCCTTTTAAAAAATGAAAAGCAACTGCTGCATTTTGAAAACGAGAGGTAGCAAGAGAACAAAGAACATATGTATATATATCAATCCAGTCAACAAATTAGAAACAGAAATTAATATTATATTTTAAAAAACCAAAAGTCATACAATTTACTTTATACTAAATGGAAAATTCGACAAGAGGAAGAAAAACAAAATTGGCCAAGTACTAAACCAAAATAAAAATTGCCCATTTACAAAAACCATAACAAAATTGTCTAAGTACCAAACCCAAAAGCACAAGACATTAAACTATGACAAATATAATAAAAAAATGACAAATATCAACATCAATATTGTCTTCTTGTCTATCTATTCTATGCCTACTGACAATACAATGTCATTGCCAACTCTTTCATAATTTTCTCCATCTAACTGGATGAATATTGCATGCAATATGTATCCACAGAGTATTGTATGTAAAAACAGAGAAATTAACGACGTTAGGTATAAATGTATAATTAACATAACTATTAATTGAACTTTGAATAAATACATGTTATCTTAGTAGGGAGTATGTTAGCTGTAACATCTCAGATTTTGGGCCTAAGAATGCAAGGAATAGCCTAAAATAAGAAAGCTATGAAGTCCCTATAAGCTGAAGTTCCAAAAATGTAAAAAGAAGTTTAAAGGGTTTTTAGGGACTAAACAGCAAATTGAGAAAATTCTAGGGACAACAATGTAAATAAAATTAGAAACTCTAGTGAAGTCTCAAAACCCAAGAATTAGAAATAGAGATAAATGTAGATCAAAGGTTATGTTAGGGGCCTTAATGAGGTGTATTATGGGGTGAAGCCGAACCAGAGGCAAAATCATAATTTTGAAAAGTTATCGGCCGAAAAAGGGTAAAAGTGAAAATTATGCCTGAAAATTACAAAAAAAATTATAGAAAATAGGAAATGGCATTTTAAGGCCTTTTTGAGAAGAGAAATGGAAAGATTGTTTAAGGAATCTTGGTGGTTAGAAGCAAAGGGAGCCAAAGAGAACAAGAGAAAACTTAATATTACAAGGTAGTGGACTTACCTTTCTTGTATGCTTGTGTGTTGATGTGCCATTGATGTTATGTGATGACAAATAATAATAATGGCATGTATAATTGACTATGATGATATATAGGAATGGTTATTGCATTGATGGAACAAGGATATACATGAAAAGAATTAATTATGTATTATTAATGCAACTTAGAGGGATAAATTATCCCTATATGAGCCATGAAATGGTGACACTATGAAAGTGAGGAAAATGATCGAATATACTCGTGAAATTTGGCATGCTTAAACTACATATCCTAAGATTTTAAAAAAAAAATAGTAGATCACTTAAAATGCATGTGTGTACTAAGAGTTATGGCTGCTCAAAGTCAGGGCAGAGAAACTAGAAACTACAGTTTTTACCAAATGAATAATAAAATTCTATGAATTAATTATTAATTGTGTAAAGTGGCTAGGATCAAGTCCATATTTATATTTTTTTTCTATAAAGAATCAAAATAGCTTCAAACAGAATTTTGAACCACCTCAATATGATTTTTTTTGTAATTAGTTATGAATTTTCAAAATTAAACCAAAAATCTAGAATTCACCAGTGGATAATAACTTGAGTAACAAATTTTAAATTTTTAATCTACGGGTTTATTTCGTGAATTGCTTGGACTGTAACACCTTCGAATGCATTCCAAAAGGGGTTTAAGGAAGGATGTTTCATTTTGGTATCAAAGCTAGGTTCTGGCAAATGTTTAAACAGAATAGAGGTTCTGATAAAGGTTCTGAAAAAAGTTTAAATGGAGCATTAGTTCAAACAAAGCCCAATATGATTAGTCCAACTAAAGTTAAGAGAATTCCTAAAGCATGGCAGATTGGCATAGATATAATGACAAAAAAGGTCATAAAGATAAACAAGTGGCCTAGAGAATTAAAGAGTTATGATGAAAAGAAAAATGACCTGAGAAAGTTGAGAGTTAAGAGAAAAGAAAATGCAGGAGGGTGAATGTAATAACAAAACTACTAAACTTTTAAATTAATCAACATTGAAAAATTAACCATGATAGGAAAGAGACTTTGTAAAACATTTAAAAGTACTACTATCATGGTTATATAAGCATCCTAAATCACATGCAATTAATCATAATAGAAAAGAGTTAAACCAATCAATAAATATGTCTATCATGGTTAAAAGAACTTTTCTAAATTTATTGCATTCAAATCGAGATTCACAATTAATAGGACTTTGGGCATTTTGAACCTAAAATGTCATTTTCAACCATAAGCCCATAACATGATATTACTCCCTCCGTTCCTTATTATAAGAGACAAATAATCGAATTATGTTGATAAAAAAAACAGTTAAAATTAGTTAAGAACAATTAATGTATAAAAAGTATAATTTTTTTTCCAAAAATGCCCTCATTAATAAGGAGAAAGAGCATGAGAGAGAATAATTAAATTATTAAAAGAAAGAGAAGTAGGAGAGAGAGAGTGTGTGTGAGTTGGAGATAATAAATATGGGTAAAATAGGAAATCAACACTAAAAAGTAGAGACAACTTTTAAGTGTCTCTTATATATAGGAATATACCATAAACATCAAATGTCTCTTATAATAAGGAATGGAGGGAGTACTAAATAGTACCTTTTATAACTTTCCAAAATCAAAAGTCATCTAGTGTCAAAGATCGTTGTGGATCCACAACTCATATCAAAAAGTCACATGCAAATACCTAGAGGCCTCTGACTCTCTACCAACATGCAGTCCAATAACAGTTAATCAAAAGTACATTGTCAAAATAACTAGTCTCAAAATAAATCAAAATATGTGGAAAGTGCCCTATTATGGCAATACATATCTATCCAAGACATTCAAAAGGGTGGAAGCGCTACAATTTTACAGTATACAGACGGGAACTATCACCTAGAAAAGTGTTAAATTAACAGGCAAGACAAAAGTCTCAGTAACCAATAATCCTACTTATCAAGCATACAAGTAAGTGCTCCTGAGGTGTCAAGTAATATAATTACAATTTCATAGCATTCAAACAAATTTTATATTATTAGAGCATATAGCAAAGTACAATCGATAATCCTCTCACCTCCCTTATATCTACCCACCTTATATTCTCTGGCTGAACTCATGGGCTAAATCCTCATTCATGTGACTGGTAATTAGACAAGCTCATTGATGAAGTGATATGGACCGACCAAAATCTACATAGCACAAGACTAGACCATAGGTTCCCTCTCTAATATACTAGTGTAATGAGTCATTAGGCTAAAGGACCAATCAGTGTACATCTGATGGCCCTACCACCTTGTATCCTCAACATGATTCACCCCCTTATATCCTTTTTGGTATAGTTCTCATTATCAACATCCGCCACTTCTCGCATATCAATGCTCAAAATATTATATTCCTAGTAAATCATTAACATGTCAAAATCAATTCAAATTTTCAATTCCCAGTTAATTCATAAACTCTTGACATCATCATAATCATAAACACATATATATTTTATAAAGAAAGTCCTATAAGATAATTTCAATAATAATATAGCTTCATAACTGATTTTATAATTCAATAATATTTCATAAATCCCGTATAATTTAAAATCAATCACAAACAACTTACGAGCATGAATAACAGGTGGAAAGTGGTTACCTCTAGCCCACTAGGAAAATGATTACCACAAGGTTAACCCCGTACTCAAACCAACAATCTAATAATTTAATCTACACAACCAATATATTTACATATCAATACACAAGCTATTTAATCAATTACTTGAGCATATATTTGTGTGTGTGTGTGTGTGTTAAAGTTTCTAATTCTATGCTAAAACCCCATACCTCTCATACCCCATAATTAAATCTTTTAGCACAAAATTATAATATCCTAACAATCCATATTTTTTGTTTAAACTGTCAAAATATTTACTTTAAATAAAGATTTTCTCAAATTTTTAAAAATATGAAATTATTATATTTAAATTCAAAAAAAATCTTATTTTAAACGTAAATCCAAAAAATAAACCATTAGAAATTCACTATACATCAAATACACTTAAGTAAATAATTTAATCAAAAGTTTCATGGTAGAAATATTATATTCTCCACAAATAAATATTTGTTTCAATAAAATTGTTAATTTAAAAATATTCGGTCAATCAATAAATAAAACTAAAATGATAAAAATGATTTACTAAAATAGCTCTACAATAGTATACTTATCTATTATCAAAACTCAACACTTGCTCTAAATCCTAAATCCAAAAATTTTCTCTAAATAGCATAAAGTTACTATCACTAGATAGATTTAGACAAATAGAAAAACTTTCATGAAGAGAATTTGATAAAAAGAAGTCATTTGACTTACCGAAATGATCTGTAAAGATTAAAATCGCATTCGAAAAAAAATGAGAACAGGGCTGTCAGAAGGGAGAAGGAAAAGACGATGAAATGCTTCTCTCTCACCCCACGGTTAAAATATAACTTTTGGAATAAATTCTAGTTAAAGACCTCATATTAAAATAAGATAAAATTACAGTTTAAAGCCTTATTTCCCCTTATTTTCTTGCATTTTCTTTCTTTTCCTTTGTCCATTTTATTATTTTTATTTAGCAAGTTTCTTATATATATATTTTATAAATCTCATTTTCAATAATTCTCTTTTCTTAAATTACCAGAGAATAAAACTCATTTATTAAGCATTAATCTCCTTCTAATGTTATTTAAATATTAAGAATAAAAACTGGGATGCTACAGTGAATGATTCTAAATTTGACAGAGAATGTTGAGTAAAGCCTAAGAAAGCAATACTGGCATCTGTAAGCAATCTTGGAGAATGATCAGTCAAGTTACTAGTTGAGTGGAGGTGACTGGTAACACCTAAGTTTCTAAGCTACTCAAAACACCATGTAAAAACTAATTTGATCTTACGGTCTCAATAATAAAGTTAACACTCAAAGATTCGGCTTTTTAACTACTACATCAAATAAACATGAGCAATAAAATCTATAATATAATTCGAGCATAATTATCGAAGTCTGCAGTCTCAAAGTCTAACATTACATAAATCATAGCGAAAATTTGAAATAAAACAATAAAGTCCATCAATTTAAGGAATTAACAAAATAATGATTGTGTCCTAGGGTCATGGCAAATAGTAAATAATCAAATTAACTCAGCATGCACTTGAGAAGTGTAAGAGCCACTAGCTCACTCCTCTGGTACCTTCCCTTGCTCTCTATAAGGATTGTCACCTGGAAAATGTTAAATAATTGGGGTGAGCACAAACGTCTCAGTAATCCAGAGTTCAACCATGTAGATATAACCATTATCCAAATATTTTCATATTAGCTAAGCAAACAAATATTGCAACAACTTAAATAATCATTAGCAAAATATGTAACTAATTTAATAATATACCATGTTCATATGCAATGGATGCTTCCTCCCTTATTGCTCCATCCAACCTTATTCCGCTGACTGGAACCATAGGCTTATAAACGGTCTGGCCCACACACTAGATTGACCAAAGCTACTCCAGTACTTAGGATGTATCTGGCCAAAGATACAGAGCCCAAGCCTAGATTATGGCTCCCCTCCTTAAAAGAACTAGGAGGTGTCACTGTTCCACGTTCCCCCTCTACAAACCTGGCCAGGTAAGTATTAAGGAACGGGGCTCTAAAAAGGCCAACCACTTTGCGCTAAGTAGAGGCAAGCCACGTGATCACAATTTGTCACATATATTAATATCATAAACTCCTAAGTCCAACCGCCTATGCATGTCATGAATATATAACAAATCTAGTATATGCAAGCATGCTTGAAAGAAAATGAATTACCATAAATTTTCACAAAAATAACCAAGACACATTCATGCTTAAAAGAGAAGTCAAATAACATAGAAGATAATACAATTTTATTCTTTCACCTTTTTAGTCTTATCTATTTATTTGTATCAATTAAGTCAATACAGTTAATACAAATTTGATCATGATAGATAAAGATTGAACACACATAGAAAAACCCCAAGTTACCTGGTATCCTCAGGATCACAAGTAGTTAAGTATCAAATCCCAAGTAATAAGGCTCTCAATGAGAGTTTACAAAATCACACAAATACATAAAAGAATTAATATTTGGACCATACCAATCAAAGCATATCCTTAAGATATCCTAAAGTCTTAAAGTTTTCCAAAATACACAAAGATATATTATATTAATATATATATTTTTATTATATTATTATTTTTGAATAATTATCCTCTTGTAATTTAAGTTAATCTCTAGTAACCTACATGCAAAAGAATTTTTTTCTTTCTTTTTTTATTTTTTTTTTTCACTTTGTGCGTCTATGCATACAAGTGATCAGGAAAGAAGGGACATGAGGACAGAAAGCAAAGGATGTGAAGAAAGGGAGGTAGTTTCAAGAAAGGACAAAGATGACAACTTTATGATAACAATCATGCCTTGTACCTATTAACATATATACACACACACATATATATATATATGTATATACATATATATATATAAAATCTTGAGTGGATACTGCCTCGAGGGAAAGGTTTTAGAGAGTCTAGGTGAATGAATATGTGGAGAGTGGATA